AAAAGGATGTAGAAAAGCTTGAGAGAGTCCAGAGAAGAGCTACGTCCATAATCAGAGGTCAGGAAAACAGACCTTACAACTACAAGCTGAGAGCCATGGGGCTCTTCAGCCTGGAAAAAGCGCAGGCTCAGGGGTGACCTGATGGCCACCTATAAGTTTATCAGGGGTGACCACCAGTATCTGGGGGAACGTTTGTTCACCAGAGTGCCCCAAGGGATGACAAAGGCGAACAGTTAATAACTACTACAAGACCATTTCAGGCTGGACATAAGGAAGAATTTCTTTACTGCCCAAGCCCCCAAAGTCTGGAATAGCCTGCCACTGGAGGTGGTTCAAGCACCTACATTGAACACCTTCAAGAATAATTTGGATGCTTATCTTGCTGGGATCCTATGACCCCAGCTGACTTCCTGCCCTTCGGGCAGGAGGCTAAACTCGATAATCTTCTGAGATCCCTTCCAGCCTTAATGTCTATGAAATCTATCCCTTAATATAGTCCCTGACCCATGGCAAGAGACAGTCCTCCTTCCAATGGGGTCCCTTAGGAGTTGACCAGAAAGCACTAGGGCCCCTCCCCTTAGAGGCTTGATGAGGCAGGGTGCTGCTCCCCCAGCCCCTTCTCTGGGTTTGCCCACTCCAAACATCTTTCTCCTGTGGGACCCAAGGGCCCAATGACTCTCACTCCCTCAGGTGGTGGAGGTCAGGGCACAGCTCAATGGGGTCTCCTCTGCAGGAGCGCCTCTCCTGGCCTCTCCTGTGCCACTGGACTCCTCTCCTCCCTGTGCCCTGCTCTGAGCACCAAGGGCTCAGCTCCTCTTAGCTGCTGGCTTCTGGATGCTGGGCCTCATGCCACAGCTCTGTTATTTTCCTGTGCCCTGGCTTCAGCACCGACGGCTCTTTCAGCACAGGCCAGGCCTTTCAGGCTCCAGCCATCCATCCTCATGCCGAGTGGCTAACCCAAGCAGCCTCCACTGCTCCCTGGCTCTCAAGGTTCAGGCCTATGCACCACCCTACATATCATGGGACCTAGCCGCTTGCCGGAAGATGGGACCTGAGCCACCTCACTGCTTCCCCAAGGCCTTTGCCCCATGCACTGCCCCATGCGGCCCACTGGCCCTGCTGGGGTTGCAGGCTCAAGCTGCTGCTTGCAGCTCCCAAAGTCTGGGCTCCGTGCACCAAACTGCACACCATGATGGACCCGAGCAGTTTCACACTGCTCCCAGGGCCAGATCTCCACGCACCGTCCCCATGCACCATCAACAGCTAGAGCAGTCTCACACCACTCCCAAAGCTGCTCCTTCAGTGGCAGCTTCAGGAACCTTGGGCTTATTGCCTGCTGAAGGAAAGCTCCCTAGCTGTTCTTGGCTTCACTCTTCTTGAGTCCCTCACTGCATCTGCCCCTTGTGTTGGGCACGCAGCTCCTTTTATACACTCCAGGGCTCCACCCCTGAAGTCTTCCAGACCTGACAGTTTACAGTCTTCAATCAGGTCTGGGCAAGCTCTTCTCCCCCTCCCCTCAGGAAAGGGACATGACTTTATTTCTTCTGCTCCCTCTTGATTGGCGGATGGGCTCCCTTAGAAAAAGTACTAAGGGAACCACCATACAATGACAGGGAGACAGACAAGACCTTCAGATGTATGTTTTTCTCCCCTCCCTGTCCAATTTCTATGGTCTATATTCTCACATGCTACTGAATGCGCACTCTAGAAAAAAATATAACCCCTCAGATATTCAGCCTAATCCCAGACGTCTAACATAAATCAGAGCACCTTTTCCATAGACTATTAAAAAAAAAAAAAAAAAAGTTATAGGTTGAAGCCAGGGCTTCATCTGAGTGAATATGGAAGTAGAAAACCTAGCTTAGATAAGCAGGGGTCTCCAAAGATGAACTTCAGCTTTTACAACATACTCTTGCTTCAGCAAGTGAGAGTGTACGGGACGCAGGCTTTTGGTTGGGTTATTTAGAATCAGAATATGGGTTCATACTACTGCTGCTATTGCAATATATATATATTCACACACACACGCACACACTTTGTCAAATGCATCTGTTCCATTACAGAATAAGATTTTGCCTGGGATTTTAAGGACACAGCTTTTCCCCTTAAAAAAGGAAGGGTTTTCCAGATTTTTTTTTCAAAGCTTTTACACAAGTGTCAGGAGGTGTCATGTTCTTCCTGAATTTCAATTTGTACAGTGCTAAGGCTTGTTTCTTTTAATTTATCTTTGATTTTGGAATGGCTGTTCTTGGATTCCGAAGGAATTTACTTATTTGATCTATTTCAACATGATGTTCTTCTCTTACTGTTTGAATAGATGGGCAAGTATAATTTAAACATCCATGTTCCTTCACATTTCTGACATGAACTCATTTTGATATTCTTTCTTTCTTTCTTTCATGTGCCAAACATTAAATATCTATTACTCCCATTCCCCTCCTCCTGGCCCTTCCCCTCCCACTACCCATACAACCCCTTCTCATAATTAATTTTCAGTTCCAATTTTGCTGTCATATCTGGTTCCATCACATACAATATTTCACATCTGTTCTTTTCCTGATGATGATTTTGCATTGTTGTTGTTCAGCCTTAATGAAGATTATGCACGGCTGGTACAATAGTGTTTCAAAGCTCCAGATACTCGACCTGAATTGGTGTCGTTACCCAACTCATTTTCAGAATTTCTATTGGATGCTGATCTTTAGGCAATTCTCTCTTTTTTTTTAACCTGTGTTCAAACTCCAAGAGTTATTTATAAAAGCTGCTGTCTTTTAAACACCATTTCTGTTGCATGTCTATCTAGTATGTTTTTATCCCACAGGGAATCATTTCAAGCTTGGCTCATGTGACATTTTTCTAGGTATATGGTAGTTCAATAAAGCAAATCTCATGTTGGAGTAGCTTAATAAAAAAATCCACACAGCTCAGACATCCCTTTGGGCTATCTGCTATGTATATTCTTCTGAAATGAACTTTTGAGCTTTCCTAACATATAGGTTAAATACCTTCAGACAATTTATTTTTACCATAATTTTTAGTTGCCAAGACTACTTGACATTTTTCACATCAAATACTGCTAGAAAACCAAAAATGGGTTTTAGTATATCGAGTACATCAGTGAGAGTGTTAACTGCAATGCCCATTTGCAAACACAATACACACTTTTTAAACCATTTGGAGCACACCAGGGGAGATTATGTGTACTTCTGGAACCTTCCATCATTTTCCCTGCATGTGCACTTATTACCAGCTGTGCCAACAACTGCTGATGGAACACAGTTACAGCAAAAAGCCATGTTATCCAGCACGTCACCAACTGGAAAGCTCCTTTAACTAGCGTCTGTCAATACAAATCTTCCTTCCGAGGGATGTGGTAAAAGCAAAACCAAAAGTCCCACTTCTGGTTTCACCTCCGCGAGCCGAGTCTCACTTCTTCCTTGCCGACCATGGCCCAGGGCAAAGCAGCCTGTGTGGGGCCCGCCTCCCAGTCCCCCAGCACACTGATGCCAGGGAGCGAAAGCCCTGGTACACTGGACGTGGCATATTTGATTAACCAGCATATTTGGTTAACCAGCATTCCTCATTCCTGGGAGATGCCAGATAACAGAGCTGTATTTCTTTTTAAAGGGGAAGAAGGGCTTATATGGGATTCAGCTGAACTGCTTACTTGGCCACTCATCTGTCCATACCCAATTATTCTCCTCTGGTGAAACACTGCCACAGTAAAATGGTTGTTTTAAATTCACTCAAACAGCAAAAGCCTCTGCACAGGTGTGAATAAAGACAAGGAAGTAAAGAATCAGATACTGTGCACACAACAGCTTGGAAAGTACACACGGGGTGAATCTACACAAGACACTAACTGTGCAGTAACCTAACACTACACAGCAGTATGCCAGGCAAAACCAATGCTATTACACTACTGTGCAGTTAGCATCTGTAAAAACCCACGTGTCAGTGCTACTGCGCAGTAGTGCCACTTACTGCATATTGATTTAGTATTTGGTTATTCAGAGTACTGAACTTAATGCACAACAACTACAGTGCACTAATGAACATGTAGATGCACCCACTGGGTGCCATTCACTGTCTTGGCTGGCACACCAGAGACTCAACTGGGGTTCTGGGAAGCTAGAAGTATAAACTGCTATTGCTTGAGCTTTGTAGCTATTGCTGTAAGTAGTCATATATTTTATGTATTGGTATTGAAAAAGACCAAGCTTTAACACACTCTCTTAGGCTAGTGACAAAAATTACACATAAACCAGTATTAGTGATCAGAAACCAGTTCAAGTAACACAAGAGAAGCTCAGCACACAAACTGTTTTCAAAATGGCCAAAACTTGTTTAAGGTAAACCTGGATGGATGCAGTATCAAACTTAACTGATTTAGGTTTAATCAGTTTATTGAACTTCTGTTCCAGATCCCCTCCAGATTCCAATTAACTCTCAATCCCCTAGTATCCCAGGATGCTTAGCACCTCCTCCAAAAGCCCCTCCTCACACCTGTGGGAGTTATAGGTGGGCTAGACTTGGCTCAAGCTGCCTGCTCCAGCTGAGCAGGGAGGTGTGGCCTAGTGCCCTCCCCACCCTGCCTCTGGCCTGGGCCAGTGCAGACATGTGGCTGCATTTCTGGAATCAAAAGTGAATGTCTGTTCATTTGCTTATTGATTTAATCTACCCATCTTAGACTAACCTGCAAAGATTAAATTGATTCAGCCTTGGGCTTTTTAACTGCCAGCATTCAGCCTAAGTGACCGCAATCAACTTTTAGAGTGCTGACAAGAGCAGTCTTCCATTGCATCCCAAATTCTGCATTTCTAAATATTCAGGCTCAGTGGCAATGTGTGTTATTCCTTTAAAAGTTACAGTGCTTCCAGCTGAGTATGAGGTGTCACCTTCCTTGCATATCGTCAGTCAAGAAAGGGGTATGTTTGCATTTCGTTTCTACTGACTAGCAATTAATGGATTATTACTGCCAGTTTAATCACACAAACATGCAAACATCCATATGTGCAACATTCAGGATTTTTCCCAGTACAAATTTAAAAAAATGTATATTGGGGAAAATGTTTCAGGAATAGATAGGTATGGAACATGGAGGAAAAACTAGCTGTTTAAAGCTCTAGATTATGGCATGAACTCTCAAAGCGTTAAATCCCTTCATCGCTGACCTAAACTACAGGTTCAGGGGTCTATTAGTAAGAAAAAAAGCCATGGTGGGTCGGACAGTGATGCCTAAATAGCAAGCAGTCAGATGTTGCCACCAGCCAAATATTATGAATAATGAATCTGGCAGTTTTGACAAGTCAGCCTCCTCCCCCAAAAAGAGATACATACGTGCATATTAGGACAACAAACTATTTTTATCAAACTGAAATTCTTCATTTTTACTATTTTAAAACATTTTTAAATAGTTTAAAGTAACAGGACATATTGAAAAGTTCATTCAAAAATTTGAAAGCGAAGTGTTTCATTTTAAAATAATATTGGGAAGTACATGTCAGTTGTTTTTCAGGCAGCAATTATAATATATATTCTTTAAGCATTCCTGTTGTGGTGAACCTATGTATTTCATGAAAAATGTCACATAAAATATGTGACCCAACATTATTCATGATCAGCTCTGTAACACAAAGTTTCTCCAGAATGACTGGCAAAGGTTCAGAAGTGAATTTTCTCCTTCCGTATGACATATTCCATGCACCTTATTAACTGCTAGGGACATAGAGTATTCCTATCCACACTTGGATTTCAGAAGTCATAACTGTCCTTAATACAGTTGCACAAAATACATTTAGCTTTGATGGTGGGAGATTCAGACCCAACAACAGCAAAGACTTAACAAAGAAACCTTTGCATGGTATCAATAATTCTGAGTTATACAGTTTCTAGCAATTGGAAAAGATGACCTATTCTTCCCTCTCAGAAATTGTTACTAGTTCACTGCACGACATATTAAAGTGCATTGATTTGGTTCAAGGCACAGAACTCAAAACACAGATTATAATCATTAAATCAATGCAGAACTAATCTCCAGTCAGCAGTTCTAATCCAAGGTATCTTTGATTCTGAGTCTGTTTTACTCTTTCTGATGCATTGTGAGAAATGGAAATACACCGGGTATTTCACGCTACTTTAAATAACAACTCACTGTGACATGAGGTGCTGTCGCAAAACGTGACATAACCTACTGTTAACAAAGTACCAGCAATGCATTATATAATCCTTCTTTCAGAGCAGGACTCATTGTCAACTTAAAATAAGACATAGGACATGGCTAGAATTTCTTCAATTGATTAACAGGCCGGTTGCCTCAAGGGATCTCTCAGTAAAAGCTTTTTTTAAAATACTTTAAAGGGAGAACTATTTAATTCAAACATGTTGATGATTGGCAGTAGTTTCTGACATAATGTAATGGGTTTGCCTACATGTAAAAAATTGGTACAGTATCTGCAGGTGTCTCCAAATTGCTCATCACTTAAGCTACATTGGTTAGATTACCTAAGTTACAATGCATCATCAAAAGAAGTCAAAGATTCGCCCTAGCCTCACAGCCCAGCCAGCCAGCATAATTAAGAATCACATCTAACAATCAGTGGCACCAGACTGTCACCATGTCCTCCAATATAACTCATTTAGGCTGAAATCTTGACCTACTGAAATCAGCACAAGTGTTGCTATTAATTTCAATAGGACCAAGACACCGCCCCCCTCCCCCCTCAGTTCAGCACAGACATTAATAGTTGAAGCAGCAACACATGGCTTTAAAACAAGTATTTCTTAAAATGCACTATTTGCTTCCTGATTTTTTTTCCATTCCATAAATATTAGGCTCAACTTAAAATGAAAGCAGCCACTTACACTCACCAAGACTCACTTCACTTATACTTCCATTACAGAATTGTATGTTAATTCATTGTTCTCATTTCTAAGAAGGAAATACTGTCATTTGACAGACAAATACTCGGTACACTTAAAAGTATCATGATAAATGTCTCCTGGCAAGATGACAAATCATAAGGTCCTAGTTTTTTCAAATACTGTTGACTCAACAAATTATGGACAGCCTATACTGGAAATGACTTAAAGAACAAGTTCCATTGTAATGACCATGACACACTGTCAGAGCGGATTTATTAAAAATGCTTTTATCCATTAACTCTCCTGGCATGAGTAGTATTAACTTGGGTGCCTTGATATGTTCAGGGAAAGGCACATTTGGATCTCATGTGCACCCAATCGCACCTCCTCCTATACACTGGCAGCATGGCAGAAGGTGTGATTAAATGGATCATGCATTAGACCCAATCATGCCTTACTGTCAGTGTTAGGGGAGCCTGCACAGCTAATGTTATTTACAAAATAAATATACACATATACTAGTCTG